AGAGGTCTCACTCTGGAGGAAACTCTCAGCACTTTCCAGCAGCTCCTCCATCATGGAGGACGTTCCCTCACTGTAACAGGTGGAGGAGAGAGGAGAGGAAGCACAGGTGGATCCTCTGAGGAAGAGGAGCGTCCTACAAACCACATGATCACATGACCAGAGGACCACCATGTGCAGAAACACATTAAAGTCAGCCTGTAAACTCATCAGGAAGATGTTTTCTGCTGTAAATGGAGCCGTGTTGTATTTTCTTTAGAACAAAGCTGAGCACAGTAAGGACTGAGATGAAGACATGAGAACAGATGAAGTTAGTTTGCACTTCCTGATGCTGACTCTGACTGAGGTGACGAGTGGATGCTAACAGTTTCTGTTTCCTCGATGGAGCTCTCTCATCTTCTCCACATCTCTGCTGGACATAATCTTTCTTCACAGTTAACAGCAGCTGGTGTAAGAAGATAAACTCTATGACAGTCATTCTCAAACCGTGGTACGCGTACCAGTGGTGGTACGTGGGAAATATCCCCCCGGCCCCCAAAATTAAGAATAAATAATATACCATTGTGGAGGTATGCAAAGATGACACGAGGGTTCCCAAGGCTCCTCTGGGATCCAGAAAACATCTCCCCGTATGTGAGTCCTCTATGAAGAGCAGCCTTTTCTTATCGCCAGCGGTCACGGCCGCTACAGAGCGCTGGCTGGGCAGACTCATTTCCCCAGGCCTTAAAACTACAAGGCAGCCAAAACGCTGGTGGTAAAAACACAGCCCTTTTCCACGGTGCCGCGATCCCAACCACCATCGATGAGTCGGAGTCCCCAGGAGAATTGGTGGGAGATGCCGTCGGAACTATCACCTGGATGCTGAAGCTCCTAGTACCCAGAAGAGCGATAATCCTTCGAGGCCAGCAGCAGGGAGTTGATGAGGCCAGCTCGCACTGGTGCCGATAACTGTCAGAGGAAGACATGAGTAAAGAGGAATCCAGCATCATCCATTCCTAACAAGGACAGCGTGCTCTCTATGAGCTCGAGAGCGGTACCATCATCCAGGCCCGAGAAAGAGAGGAGTTTCTCGGCCCGCTCTGCGTCGGAGAGGAAATAACACCGCAGAAGCAGCGCCTTGAGAGTGGTGTATTTCCCTTGGATGGGGGGTTCCTGGAGGAGGGTCATCACACGGCAGGTGGACAGTGGATCCAGCGAGGTTAAATGAAGACAGAAAACATATAAATCACCTTGAGCGACTGTTGTTGTGATTTGGCGATAGATAAATTGAATTGAATTGAAAAACTAAACAGCAGTGGTGTTTGTAGTGTTACTGAAGTTGGGCTAGCTGGTATGTGGAGCTAGCTACACAGCTATGGTTAGCATAATATAAACACAGTGAAGCTGGAGGGTGAACGCTAACTCTTTTTTCCTCTAGATAAAAGCTAACATGAGGGTTCCCAAAGGTCAGGGACAAATGTAATCGCATGGCAGGATGCTGTGAACGGATCACACTTCAGTCAGGAGAACGACTGAGCTAATCCATCCACAATATGAGGTTAGCCATTAATACACTGCTGCATGGGCTGGGCTGTAGTTAAATCGTAAGGGTTTAAAAACTGAGCTTTAAAATGAACAGTGGTAATAAAAACCGAGAGAGGCCGACAGTGATCACTGACCTTTTGTAGGGGCTTGTTTAGATTACACGGAACAAGATCCAAAGCATTAAAACATGTTAAAAACACAACAGCCTTATTATAAAACTCAGAGTAGTTTGAACCAGGAAGCAGGATTCATCGGGTCATTGTTTACAAATTGGTTATTGGTTATCCCACCTGCTGTGAATGTTTTAATTCAGTACAGTTGTTGTTATTATCATTATGTCACATCCTGTTTATGACAGTTAAAATAAATAGCATTCATATAAGAAATAAAATTGTCTCATGTAAACTGTATGTGGTGTTAAATTGGCCTATACTACTGTACTATAATGTTGGTCATAAGGGTGGTACTTCAAGAGCCGTATATTTTATGAGGTGGTACTCATTGTGAAAAGTTTGAGAAGCACTGGTCTATGTGAAACTTGATATCAGTAATAAACTAGGGTGCATCAGTCATTGATTAGTTTGACTGACTGCAAGGAAATGGACTAAGTTGAACTAATTCTAAATCGTACTGTAGTTACTCTGATTTCAGATTTATATTCATGGTTTCATATTTACATGTTTCTTCTCAGTTTGTTTGTTTTTGGGCAAATTACATTTATTAAATGAACATGCTCAGAGTTGTGAAACTTCAGCTCCCACAATGCTTTGGAGGCTATCAAAAGAAAATGCATGCACGTCAACTATAAATACACACCATGAGGCGTTAGTAAGGTATCAGGGCGTAATGAACTCTTCATTTAATTATGGAACATTACTCCTGCATTAACACAAATCATCATGTAATTCATAAAAACAGATCTAAGTGGTTTCGTCGTCTTCTGGGTTAAGTCAGGCACTTATTGCTTACCTGTGTCTTACAAAGGAAACAAAGGACAGCTTGACCTGAAGACTCAAACACGTCTCAGTCATGTTCACAATAGGAGGAGGAAACACATTCAAAGTGATACAGAACATAACAAATATAATGAGATGAAAATAAAATCTGTTTGAGGTTTAAAGAATGATCAAATCTATAAATGATCAGAGTCCAGGTTGAGAAAAAATGTCTTAGCTGAAGTTACAGGCTGGACTCAAAAAACTTTAAAGGAAAATCCACGGTCTGTATGTCCAACAATCTCAGCAGGTAAGTCAGGCTGAAACTGGCTCCTGGGAGGAAAAGAGGACAAAGAAGGCAAACGCAGAAACAGCAGACTGACCATACAGAGGTGAGTAACCACACTATAAACCACTGTAAGTCCTCTGTATTTAAAGGAGCCAGCTGTGTTCCAGCATGGTCCCTCCCCTGTGGTGTAAGGTGTGGTTAACACATGCGTAGGTTCTATACTGACACAGTGTTTTTATACGGTTGTCCACGCTTGTCCCTCCTTCCTCCGCCTCTCACTCTTACCCCACTCTTCTTACTTCTAACACTTTTCCTGTTATGTTCTTTACCTCTTTTCACCACATCCAAACGGTCACGGTCTAACTTCCTGATGAGTCACTTAAACACTGATATTGAAAATCTAGAACAATTATTACAAAATTATTACTTATTTTTCTGTTTTAAAACTGATTCATTGTCAATATCGTATGATTTACTTTTAGCTCAATCAGAATGCATATATATTCTTTTTATGACTGTGTTCAGCACTGTTTTTTTTTTTTTTGTTTTTTTTTTACTTTAATACATAAAAACTGAAGAAACAAACAAAGTTATGTCTTCAAACATGACTCAAACAGCACCACACATCCTCGCTGCATGCTGTTTCTCCTCTGAGTTTAATTGTGAAAGTCATTTGCTATAAAAAAATTTATTTTGAAAGATCAAAAGGAAATGATCAGGTTTTCTCTGTCTAACTTAAGAGGACCAAACCTTTGGTGCAGCAGCAGCTGCGTGTTGTTGTTATCAGGACTTTAACTGGTGATGAAGATGTTGCTGCCACTCCTGCTCCTCGTACTCGGTAAGAGCGCTCTTTGAATGCAAACACAATTACACAGCTGTTTGTGCTTTTAGACAACATAAAGTCTAACATGAGTTTACTGGATGTAAACTGACTCTACTTGACTTTATTCCTTATAACCCCCTCTGGGACTTCATGCAGGGCGCTCACAGGGTTACAGCTGAGTTCATATCTGTTTAAGACGAACTATCTGTGTGTTCCAGACGTCTGTTTCTTACTGATAGAACCACAAACCTGCCAGAGAGTAGTGACGTTTGACAAGATTAACGACTATGGCAAAAAAAAAAGAAAAAAAACTTGTCGAATGATACAGATGAAAATTGGTTGTGTTGCCAGTTGTGTGTAACATTGTCAGTGGTGACACTTTTCTATGTTGTAACACTAAGATGTTTATTTACTAATAAACTGTTTTCTCTGTGTGTGACTGTTTCTGGCTCGTTTGATGTTGTTGCATGGTGAGGTTATTTGTTAAAAATTGATGGACTGCGGTGTCATTATTAGCGCTGTTGTCTCATAAAAAGAAGGTGTCTGGGCTCAGATCTGCTTGGTTTCCTCCTTTCACCTCAGTGTTGTTCAGTTTTCTTTAACATCTTTGATGTCCTTTCAGTGTTTGTTGGAGAGGAAGGATACATGTTTGAATGCTTTTCATAATTACATTACGTTACATACACTTTCTGAAACGACTTTGTATGAACCCAAGGAGAAAATCCACTGCAAATACATAAACATGTTTTTGTTGTGTGTGCTTGTGTCTCCTTCCAGTTTCCCAGCATGCCCTGGCTCCGGTGGTGGAGGTGTATGAGGGGGAAAAATCTATCCTGTTGCCTTGCAAGTACTCAGGTTTTATACCTGAGGAAAATCCCACAGTGCTGTGGACTCGCAATGATCTCAACCCCAAATCTGTCCACCTACGACGAGAGGAAACAGATGATCTGAAAGGGCAAAACCAGCATTACAGAGGGCGCACATCAATGAGGCCTGATGCTCTGGACAGTTCAGACTTCAGCCTCACTCTGAGAAAACCCCAAATGACTGATAGTGGCAACTACACCTGCTCCATCGGAAATGAAAGACAGGAACGGAAACTGACAGACATACAGCTGCATGTCAAAGGTAAGAAACCCAACACCTGTGATTATGAAGGTCAGAGGTCAAACTAAAGAGTAACAAAAGAGATCCTTCTAGTTCTGAAAGCTGATAAAATAGCAACAATGTTCTCTAGAAGCAACCACACTGGAAAAATAAAAACATGAACACCAAAGAAGAAGAAAATAGAATCTTATTGGTACAATTTTTGGTGTTTCTACTAAATCTGGATAACTTGATCCAGAAATTCTTACATGTGCAGGAAAACCAGCACCTGACAGGCCTAATACGGACAGACAATAACACAACATGACTGTTACTTAAGTGTGATTACTAACAGTAGTACTGTGAAGACCTGGCACAGTTTTGGCTCACAAGCTTTCCTGATATTTTTCATGCAGAATAGAGATTTTAATGATTTGATTATTGATATTTATTTTAACTGACAGCAGAGTCAGAGGTCAGTAACACAGATGCTCAGATCTCAGATCAGGTCGATTCTATGATTAAAATCAGTGTGACTGAATCTGCTTCTTTAGTTACAGAAAATACTCTCAGCCCTTCCTTTTTTTCCACATTTTGTTATGTAACAGTCTTATTCCAAAATGGATCGAATCAGTTTTTCACCTCCAAATTCTACCTGCACAAAATCCCCATAATGAATACGGAAAAACATTTGCTTAAAATTTGTCCAGGTGTATTTAAAAAAGCTAAAATTAACAGATGGACAGAAGTACTTACAGCCTTTTCTGGGACACTAAAAGTTGAGCTCAGTTGAATCTTGTTCCCTTTGAGAATATGTCAGATGTTTCTTGATTGGAGTCCAACTGTGGTCGATGCGTTGATTGGACATGATTTGGAAAGGCACACACCTGTCTGTATAAGGTCCAACAGTTGACAGTACGTGTCAGAACACAAATCGAGCCTTGAAGTTCAAGGAATTGTCTGCAGACCTCTGAGACGGTATGTATTGAATTGAGTTTGCCAAAAAGTCCCTGAAGGACTCTCAGATCATGAGAAAGAAAATTCTCTGGTCTGATGAAACCAATATTGAACTCTTTGGCCTGAAAGCCAAGTGTCATGTCTGGAAAAAAACAGGCACCACTGGTGGTGGCAGGAAAATGAACATAGAGACAAGATAACAAAGGAGAGCTTTAGGCTGTTTGTTCTTGAGTGGTCCAGCCAGAGCCCAGACAAGAACCCAATCAAACATCTCTGGAGAGATTAGACAATGCCTTTGCACTGACACTCCCCATCCAGCCTGATGGTGCTTGAGAGGGTCAGCAAAGAAGAATAAAGAAAATGCCTAAAAATAGCTGCCATACTGAGAAAGACTGA